CCCTTGATTATGCTTATCGCTTATGGTCATTTTAATTGCTTCCGCGACCAAGGATGTGTAATGATATGCTATAAGGCTTGTTTGGGGTTTCTTCGGGTTCCCCATTCGCCGGTCACGTCTAGGCCCTAGGCTTGGGTCGTGACAGTATTGTACTGTGTTGTATTGTGTCGTACTTGGAGCTGTCAAAATAGACTTTTCCCGTTCGACCGTCCCAACCAAACCCTTGAATTAAGTGGGGTTGGACTTAATTTTTTCAGTCCATTTAAGAAAGAGGCTTTTTAGCCTAGCCTCATTTGGCCCACTAGCCTCATAGGCCCAATCCGCAAGCATTAGAGGCTAGCCTGTGGGCTGTGAATTTTTAAAATATTTATTATATATATAGATTTTTTCCAATAAATATTTTAACAAATATAAAATCAAGAAAGTATTCATTCTTCTTTAAACCCCATAATCATTACTAATGCATTCTCATCATTTAACTAACTATACGTAAAAAGCATTTAAAACCCTTCATCAATTTCTATTACTCCCAATCAAACAAAGGCATACAAGGTTTAATAATGCTTAACAGTTGGTTAAGAAGTCATTTTGCCTCAATTAATCAAATAATCACTCTGGAACTTGAGATTTCCCTCATTGTTGGGACTTAAAACCATCACAAGCTAATCACAATAAGAATTTGAAACCAATAATAATCATATCAATTATTTTAGAAAACGGGGTAAAATTGACCCAAAAATCTAATTGTGAAAACAAAGGGTATATTTGAAAATTTGTACAATAATGCGTTATTCAAAGAATTTGGAAATTAACGATGAAAACCATTTCGAAAATGAAGTTGAATCGAACCCACAATCACTATTTCTAATTAAAACTCAAGTTCTTGAAAATCTTCTTAAATTTGAATCCAAAATAGCAATTTAGATGTCAAAATCCTGCAATAATTAATGAACCCAATCGAAGTTTCTTGAAAAAGTCTTTCAAAATCACATTTATTGAGCTTTTAGGGTTCAAAAATTGAAGAAGATGGAAAGAAACTCGATTTTGAAAAATAAGACAAGGCCAGGGGTCCTTGGTGAATGTGGACTCTCGCCAATTAACTCTCTGTGAACGCGGAGATCTGACATCCCGACCCTCTGCGCATGCACGGATCATCAAACACCAGCTATCAGCAAAATCAACAAATATCAAAATCTTTGAATGTACTAACCAAATGTATTACCCAACTAAATTTGACATTTTGGACTCAATGGAACCGTCGAAACACAAATTCAGAATCTCCTCAATCTAAAACCCATGAAAGTTGCAATAAACTAACTTAAGACTAAAAAATATCAAAGTGCCCTCAGAATCTCCGAAAAAATCAACCAAGACCTCAACTAGGCCTAAAGTCATCCCTGATCCAAGTGAAACCGTCAAGCATCCAACTGAGCGTCCGAACTTTGGATGTTGACCAAAGTCAACCCAAAGACTAAAATCACTTAAACTTTCAACTTATGACCTTAAATCCACGAAATATGTTCGAATCAGAAAACAACAACACTCATACCAAATTTTACATTCTGAAGCTGATGGGACTGACGGAATCTCATTGAGACTCAAAACGCAGATTGTTACCAAAAAACACTATTTAGACTTTAACTCATGCAAAAACTCAAAACTTTCAAAAATCACCACTTTTATTCAAATTTCAAAACCAATCTCACAAACTAATCCGAAAAGACTCTAGGCAACTATCGGAAGGGATAAAATGATAATTTTAAATTTCAAAAATAACCTTCAAAGTCATTACACGTGATTCCTCAATCTATAAAATCATTGTCATGAAGATAAAAAAATCCTTAGAACAGTTTGAACCATATCTATCGTGTGTTAAGATAAAAAAATTTATTGCAAAATTTCTTGATATAGTAAAACTTAGATACTTTGGGGCATAAAAAATACTTAAAAAACACGTTGTTGATCACTTAGTAGTTGATGTCCCAGACATGACTGATTTAATTGACAAAATAAATTTCAAGGATGATCACATTTATTTTTGAACTACTTTTTAGCCATGCATATGAATGATGTTGTTGAGTTTTACACAAATCTTAAGGTCTTTAATAGTGCAATTATTGTAAGTACATCTATGAAAGGGTATCTATTGTATTTGACAGTGTTAGGTTAGCATAAATCATGTATGAGAATTATTATCTCACTAAGAATTTACACAGGAACGAGTTAAAAAAAAAAGAGACGAGATGTGTGCCGAAGGATGAAATGAAGTCATTTCACAAACTTCTATTTGAGTTTGTGAATAAGTGCATCCTGCCTCGCTCTAAGAGGTGCCATAAAGTTATTTATCGTGATCTGGGAATGTCTTGGACTTAGATTAGTACATAACCTTCCAACTCTCATGATCAAACACACGATGAGGGTTATAGATCCTAAACATGATCCTTGTGGCTTGACTATCTTTAGCCACCTAGCTCCTCATTAAAAAAAGTAGTCTATGTATATCTTCGTTTTCTAAGAAATGGTGCATATATCCTTTTTCCGTTAACATATCTATATTTACATTATTTTTAATTTCATAAAGTACCAAGTGATTTTAAAAGACTACCTTGCCCATTTTTTTTGGCCCATTATGAAACCTCCAAACTATAAACGAGCCATACATAGGTTGGACGGAACAATAATAGAACTTGGTTTCTTACATTACTACACATATATTACTTCATAACAACAATGTATTCCATACTCAGATGGATTATTAGTCTTTCTTCGACTACTAAATCCATAAACAAGCAATACACAGGTTGAACTGATCAATAATAAAACTTGTTTTCTTACATTACCCAACACAAATAAAAAGCGCCCAACCCCTCTTCTACTCAATCATAAAATAAGGTATGATCGGATATAAAATAAAAGAAGAAATGAGTTTTTTTTTTAGTTGGGTAGGGTGTGAATAAAGTCAATCCTCTAGAGGGATAAAAAGAACATGTGAGATAATTTTCAAAAAACAAGTGATATTTTTGAAATTAAAGAAATAAGTTTAAATTTTGTTTAAATATAATTTACTAACAAAAAAATAAGATTATATATTATATATGTACCACTATTAAATGATAAGCACATATACATTATATATATCCAACATTATTTTTAACAAAGATATATGCCTCTAAATAAAGCTGAAGGTATCAATATGGGTTGTGGTACACTAGTATGAGTTGTGGTGTTCTTTGGCTACTAAATCCATAAACAAGTAATACACAGGTTGAACGGATCAATAATAAAACTTGTTTTCTTAAATTACCCAACACAAATAAAAAACACCCAACCCCTCTTCTACTCAATCATAAAATAAGTTATGATCGGATATAAAATAAAAGAAGATATGAGTTTTTTTTAGTTGGATAGGGTGTGAATAAAGTCAATCCTCTAGAGGGGTAAAAAGAACATGTGAGATAATTTTCAAAAAACATGTGATATTTTTGAAATTAAAGAAATAAGTTTAAGTTTTGTTTAAATATAATTTACTAACAAAAAAATAAAATTATATATTATATATGTACCACCTATTAAATGATAAGCACATATACATTATACATATATATATATATATATATTATATATATGTACCACCTATTAAATGATAAGCACATATACATTATATATATATATATATATATCCAACATTATTTTTAACAAAGATATATGCCTCTAAATAAAGCTGAAGGCATCAATATGGGTTGTGGCACACTAGTATGAGTTGTGCTGTACTGGTGGGAGCGCTTCATCCTTAATCAAAGGTCTCGAGCTCCGAACACCGAACAACGAATGGAAAACAAAAAAAATGCTGATCATTTTTCCTAAAATAAACGACAAAAGAGACCAACATTATCAAGGGTGTTCAAGAGTTTTTTTTTTCTTTCTAATAAGTGAGTTGAATATTATTTGTTTAACCTAGAAATTCTACGATGAACGATCCCAACATTTGTCGATATCAAAAACAAACAATCGTGTTTTTTTATTTTTGATGCATTGATTTTATATGATAAAAATATAGGATTATTGTATATAAAGTGAAATATTGATTAAACAAATGCGCCTAGCTTTACGAAACATAAATCATACTCTAGCAGAGATTTTTTTTTTCTTAAAAAAAGAAGAAGATAAAACGCATGTATCGATTTTAACTTTGGGTTTAAAGTTGTTAACATATATAAACACAAATTTTAATGTAAAATGTTGGATTTTTTTGTTTTCACCCTTTGAAAGTGCATTATATCCTAGATAAAATTAGAAATACATGATATCTAAATATATAAATTTCAAAATAATTAAAATAATTTATTCATATATGTTACTCTATATTATTAAAATTGTAATATTAATAATTAAGAAACTTGAGGAACATTTAAGAATTTCAGGTAAATTAAAATTAATAAATGTATGATGCAAGAATAATGGTGTTTTAAGGTTGTGTTCTGCTCTCCAAATAAAATAAAATAAAAAGTTGTGCACTCTGTGGGTTCGAAGCCGCGAAGTCTGGGCAAAAAAGAGTAAGCTCAACCACTGCACCAAAGGAAGATTTTACATCAAGGATGTTCAACATCAATTATTTATCCCTTAAACTCAAAATCTGGCCTTTGTGTATGATGCAATTTTCCGGTGAAGGGTGTTCGGCTGACCACCCTTGGTAGACTGTAGCTCCTCCTCTGGTTGTGGTGCATTGGTGAAAGGGCTTTATCGAGCATGATTCAAATTTAGTTAGAGCTCTAATGTGGATATCAAACACCGTTTGTAAAACCAAAAAGAAAGGACAAAAGATACTGTGATCATTCCATCCGTAAGGCTAATACTTAACGAGACCCAATTAACCAATCAAATTTCTCTCCACACCTATCTCTCTTGTGACGTGGCATCTCTTCTACCATATAATATAATTTCTTTCTACTTCTTATATTCATAGGATATAAATAACATAAATATATATATAATAATTCCTATTTTTCTCCGCCATTAACTTCCCCTTCTCCTTCACAAGCTCCATAAATTCTCTCTTAGCTATGGCAACTCAGTTCTAGAATCTTCTATAACTCAGTCTCTATATCTGCTACTACGACGAAAATGGCGAGTATTTCAGCTACACTTTCTACTGCAACTTTACCGGAACTCAAATTTCTATCTCCAATTTCGACTTCCAGAAGTTTCCATTTCCGTATACCTCAGCGGAGTAGAATTAAGACGGCGGCGGGGAAGAGAGAAGAGAAAGTGGTGTTGGAGGAGAGAGATGCAGAATTGTTGAGGAAAGTGAATGGGAGTGTGAATGGGAATGGGAGTGTGAAGAGGAGTGTTGATTTGAATGGTGCGTTGTTGGTGGATAAGTATAGTAATGGAAGTGTAGGTGTGATTGAGAGTGAAAATGAGAGTTTGATGAAGTATGTGAATGGGAATGGGAATGGTGTAGCGGGGAAGAGTGCTGAGAAGGTTGTGGAGGTGAAGGCGGAAGAAGTGGTTGAGAAGAGGAATAAGAAGAGTATTGATGAGATTGGACAAGAGGAGGCTTGGTTTAAGAAGAATAAGGAAGTTAAGGTATATGTGTTAACTTTGTATTTGTTGTTGTTTTAGCTTTTCGTTTTCGTTTTTTACATATTTAAATGTGTTGTTTTAGTTGTGTTTATGTGAATGATGTTGATAGCTGCAAATGAATTTGCTACTCGAGTACGAACCACAACATTTTGAGGTTAAGGCATCTTACATTTGGAAAAAAGAAGAAGACATTTTGAGGTTGATTGATACTGATTGGTTGCGAATGATCAAGTGTGGAGGGGTGTTTGTGCCCATATATATATATATATATATATATCACTAAATGGGATTATTCTATAAAGTTTCTACTTTTAGAATCTACTGTTTATTTTAAGTGCATTGTTATATTAATTCCAAATTGATTTTTGGGTGACTAGACTTGATATTTACTCTAACAAGGATGAGTAGTATGTTTAGTGAATATTTTTTGTTCGAAAGGAGTCAATGAAAGTTAGCTAAATCTAGTATTCCATAAACTCTAGTGGACCCTCATTCCTTTCTTTTACAGTATGAGGTTCAGTTAAATTGGTGTCATATTTGATGATTACAGCAGCAACTGCAGATCAATCTCAAATTTGTTCCTTTTCTTGATGAAGTTCAAGCCTGATGAACTTTATGTTCTCTCTTTGTCTAATTTTCTTAAGATGAGAATTATCAACACATGACCTAAGATGTTTATTACTGGCCTTTATGATGAAAAAAATGAAGTTCTCTTATTAGAGGTGCAAGACGAAGACCATCCTGGCCGAATGAGTTTGTGAGTTGACAATTTATTGGATTAGTTATATTAAAACTAAGACTAACCAGGTCACTATATCAACCTCACATCTACTCAATTGCTGTAGTGGGAAATGTAACAAAACTCGATGCATGAGGGGGGGTTCATAATTGGACCAGAAGGGGTTTGGAGACTCCGGTTTACGCAATGACTGTCAGAACCGTTTGTTGCAGTTGGCAAAGAAACTAAATGATAAAGAAGGATTTCAAATGCTTATATAAAATATTGCAGTTTTGCCTCTGTGCTTTAAGGGTTCTCGTGATCTCTGGTTCATTTCTGGATGGAAGCCAGATTATGACGTTACTGAATGGTTTTTGCAGGTCTCTGTAACACCTGGAGGCCGTTGGAACAGATTCAAAACATATTCAACAATTCAAAGGACTTTAGAGATATGGGGATCTGTCTTCACTTTCTTATTCAAGGCTTGGTTGAATAATCAAAAGTTCTCCTATCAAGGTTGGTCAATGACATAACCCAATTTTTTAATAAGAATTGAGAAGAAAATTACCGTAATGTGTCGTTCCTAGCAAAATGCTGGTCTTCTCTTTTTTTAACATGTCACAATGGCTCAAAACAGGGTGATAAATCCCCATGATTTTGTTATATTGACCCCCCCAAAAGGTCTGCTTTTTGGCACCTGTTTCAATTAGAAACATTAAGGAATGAGGCCTAATTCTACTTTAAAAAAATAAAAGCCTATTCAAAATTCACTTAAACTGATCTACATGAATAGCTTTTTAGCTATTCACTTTTTTAGTTTCTTCTCTGAATTTTCCCTGCATTGAAGATATTGGGATCCACAAACTGATTTTAAAAAAATATTTTACTCTTCTAAAAGGATAAGCTATTTATGCCGTTCTCGTTGGTTGTTGCTAGTCCAACGGACATTTCAGGACACCAACTTCCTATCAAGTCCGAACTATTCTTTTTCATTTAGTGATATTTCTTCTTTATATTGATGACACTGAACTATGCAATAGTCAAAATGATTACCATGAATCCTAAAGAATCTATTTTCCATCATTTCCCCCCTTTATACTTTGTTTTGACCTATTTTCCCCAGATTTTACAACAATAACCTATCTATAAATGTTGATAACAAATCAGCGACCAATACACCGGCAACTCCCATCATATGAAACGGGTATTGAGGAGGCTAGGTTAGCCAAAAGATTGTTAATTCTTGTTGCACTTCAGAAAATCATCATTTGCCACCCCAATCTGTTATGCTCAGTGATAATACAAAAAAAATACTCCTTACTGTAACTAATATGAGGAGCTGCTTCATGCAGGTGGAATGACAGAAGCAAAAAAAACTGAGCGGAGAAAGGTCCTTGCTAAGTGGTTAAAAGAAACTATTTTGAGATTGGGTCCAACTTTTATCAAGATTGGCCAGCAATTCTCAACAAGAGTGGATATTCTTGCTCAGGAGTACGTTGATCAGTTGTCTGAGCTTCAGGTTGGTGATGTCCTGATTAAGTTACTGTATGTTTGATCTTCTATTACACGCATTTCATCAAAATTTGGTACCTTTTCAGCATCCTTTAAATTTGAAGATTGAGGCATAGTTGTCGTTGTTATTTAAGCTTGAAGACATCTTTTGTTCAGTTTAAGTAGCTAGGGATCTTGGCTCATCATCTGAAATTGGTATCAAAGTGAACACTCCGGTCATATATATAGCTTACTATTAAATTTTGCCAATCCAACTATTGTTTATCTTTCTGTTGTTTAGTATTTTCTTGAGACGATGTGTAATTTCTCAAGCTGGCACTATTCATATCTGTTTTTCCTCTGAGATTTCCGATATCTCGAGTAACAGACACTAGCGATGCGTAGAGCTTGAAAGATTATTTTAGCAACAAAGATTATCTGTGTACAAGAAACCTGACTCACATATACATGACATTAGCTTACAGAATGCAATGAAGAGGACGACTGAGCATGTTGTTGGAGTAGATGATTCTTACACAATCGATGACTATGTAATACTTGAGATGATATCAACATATAAGTAAATGAATTATGCAGTTGAGATCCATAGTCCCAGAGATGGGATATACTAACTTTGAAACATTTTATATTCTGAAAGCATACTAAAGTAACTTCTAAAGTTAGCCTATATAATTGGCAACACATGCTATGCAGTAAATTGATTTTCACCTAGGATGAAGCATGCCTGGCTGCTTTTGTATTCTTTTGCGGTGTACTTTCCCTTCATACCTTCTCGTGATTTCCGTTATGGGTTTTCTGTCATTTCCTGGTGCTATGCAGTATGATTTTTTTTTTCTTCTTTTTCTTAGAAATTATTAATTTTACAGGGCATTGTTTATTTACAAGACTAATTTTTCTCTGCTTAGGACCAAGTTCCTCCTTTCCCATCCGAAACTGCTGTATCAATAGTTGAAGAAGAACTTGGCAGCTCATTGGATAATATATTTGAAAGATTTGACCGTGAACCAATAGCTGCTGCAAGTCTTGGTAATATTCACTTAATTCTGATTGTCACATAGGTCCATCCTTCATTCAGCAAATAAATTCTGCAGCTACCAGTTATTGTTCTATGTACTCAACAAGCTTTACCAGAATGAAATATAAGAACACTGATATATTATAATGCAGGTCAGGTGCATCGTGCAAGACTGAATGGGCAGGAAGTAGTTGTCAAAGTACAAAGGCCCGGTCTTAAGGATCTTTTTGATATCGATCTTAAAAACCTGAGGGTCAGTTTTAGATAAAGTATCTTTTACATGTAACTCTTGAGTTCTTTTGTGTTATTGTTTGGATATGATATAAAGTAAAATCAGATCTTCATTGACTGCATAGAGAAAGCCCCTCTTTGCTGTTTTTTCTTCTTAGATCTTCCGATCTAACTTCCAGACGTTTGCCTGAATAATTCTCACTTCAAGTAATTTATCCGTATGCTTGGGTGCTATGACCTAGTTTTCATGATGAATGACACTCCTACAGGATATTGTGCACTAATCATTCGTACGAGAAGTGAATTTATAGCACTGATATGATCATTTCTACTTCTAATTTTCAAAAGATAGGTTGTTTATTATCATATATATCTTTTTCATGTGACATATTTCTTGCAGGTGATAGCTGAATATCTGCAGAAAATAGATCCTAAATCTGATGGTGCGAAAAGAGATTGGGTTGCAATCTATGATGAATGTGCAAATGTCTTGTATCAGGTATTTTGTTAGTAAATCATTTATTTTAATATTGCCAATTTAGCATCATCATTTCATCAAAAAAAATTTAAAAGGACTTCAGGATTCTTTCCTCAATCTGACTTATTTTTGTTTTCTTTTTGCATTAAGTTTATTGTTAATGTACTTTTCCCTGTTTGAGGTGGACTTGGTGTCTAATTGACTTGCCCAGTTTGCTTGTACAAGTTTCATTCCAAAGACATATATCTAGTGGTGAGGTCTGAACCATATAGGTTTTCATGGAAGAAATTTTTCTGGTTGACAGACAATCGTAGAAACATGAGCTTGTGATATAGCTACACCTAATTCCAGACCGGTTAATGCAAGAACTAAAAATAAAGGACAAGGATTCAGAGTTTTAATTAGTTATGAATCAGCATCTTCAGTGTTCAAGGAATTCAAATATATTGGTCTTTAACAAGAACGGTATTGAACTGTTAAGAAAATGTAATGGAATCTCATGTGAGAAGGAGAAGAGATTCATTCAAAAGTTCTCATCGTATTATGGTTTGATATGAAATAAAAATACACTATCTTATCTTGTTAGTAGGTTCTCTTTGCACTTATTTATAATACTTTAAAATACAATTACCAGTTTTAGAAAAAATAAAATAATAGAATACTTCCATTTACTATTTACTCAAGAGTTCAGGACTTGGAGCCTGTTTGGATTGACTTATTTTAAGTGCTTTTAAGCCAAAATAGCTTCCAAGCACTTTTGTAGTGTTTGGATAAAATAAAAAAGGTGTTTCTAAACACTTGTTTATAAGCCAAAAAACCCAAAAATAAGCCAAAAATCATAAGTTTGAATTTCTAACTTACGGCTTTTGACTAATGAGCCAAAAGCTATATACCCATCCAAACATGCTCTTCAACAATGACAACTGGTCACCTGGGGACTGTGTTTTTGATGGCTTTGTATTAACTAGCAATCATGAATTGAAAGTAGTTTATAAGTTACTCTAGTGCTTGCCTGACCTGCATTCTGGTCCTATTATTTTATTTTGTATCTAATTCAATAGTCAAATGCTGCTGAATCTTTTTAGGATCAGTGTGTTGCTACCCTCCTTGATTTGCATCTTTCAAGCTGTAAGTTTGTCTAATTAGAGATGTTATTTTATGAGTTTTGCAGGAGATTGATTACACTAAGGAAGCTGCCAATGCGGAACTGTTTGCAAGTAACTTCAAAAACTTGGATTATGTGAAAGTCCCATCGATATACTGGGAATATACCACACCACAGGTTCAACATAATCAGTGATAATGATGGCTTAACTGATTAACATTGAATTCTCTCCACAATTCATTTTACTTGAATGATATTTTTCACTCCTTTCAGGTTTTGACAATGGAGTATGTCCCAGGCATTAAAATAAATAGGATAGAAGCCTTAGATCAATTGGGAGTTGATAGGAAAAGGTGAGCTGAAAGTTATGCCATTCAATTTGTTGAACTATGAAATTTACCTAGATCCTTCATTTTCATTCATGTACTGGTGTTGTAATCATGTCCGAGAGACATGTTGCTTCACAGGAATCCTTAATAAGTACTCAGACGGCCTGCTAAAATTGGATGTGTTCTGTCAATTCATTCTCATGTCTGATAGTAACTCAGGTACTGAGTAATAATAACAGGACCGGAAATGATATGCCTTTGGACTTCTCTTAATTGTTTATCAGATTAGGGAGGTATGCGGTTGAATCCTATCTGGAGCAAATTCTGTCTCATGGTTTCTTCCATGCTGATCCAGTAAGATTTCTCACCGACATTCACAGTTCTTCTGTTCTACTTTGATTCACAGTGCACTTTGTAACCAAATGGCAACATATAATAGATCTGTCAGTTTGAGGTTTAACATATTTAATAAACGAGTATAAGAACTTTCCACTTCCTTTGTTTCCCTTTTTTGCATCCTCATAGTTTACCCGGCTGCATCACCATGTTTGCTTTCCTTCTAACCATTCAACTCCCAAGCAATATAAGCTGCAACAGAATCTTGCGTTGATTGTTCAAGGAAAATTATTTTGTTATAGATTGGTAATCGTACCTCATTCACTTGGATAGGACCAAGTAATTACTTCAGAGATACATTTGGAGAGCTTCACCTTCCATACTAACCAATTCTAAGCTGTTGATATCTTTTACTCTTTTCAAAGTTAAAACATTGTTTCCATCTTACTACTTAGCTTTAGCCTTATCTCATATCTGTGAAGTGTGAAAGTGATGGTTTCCAAAGAAAGTTGGTGTTGATTTAATATCTTGCAGCATCCTGGAAATATAGCTGTGGATGATGTTAATGGTGGAAGGTTGATCTTTTATGATTTTGGAATGATGGGAAGGTAAGTTAAACATTTCCATCTAAGTAATATAAATGACTCTGAAGTTCTCCAACCTAAATCAGTTCTCACTTACTCTATCGCATTGCAGCATAAGTCCTAATATCAGAGAAGGCTTGCTGGAAACATTCTATGGAGTTTATGAGAAAGATCCAGATAAGGTGATCAAACTTGAAGTTCCCAGGCTTGTTTATTTCCTTTTTTTTTATGGGTTCTGTCACTGTTCTACTTAACCACATAAATGCTGGGCTAAATTTCTCGTTGAATGCAGGTCCTGCAAGCAAGTATTCAAATGGGTATTCTGGTGCCTACTGGCGACATGACTGCTGTCAGACGAACTGCACAGTTTTTCCTTAATAGGTACTCGCCCACATCATATCTTTCATTTTTTATGTTGTTTAAAGTGAAACTGAATGTTATAGACTTGAGACTGGCAAAATTAAGCCCATTGTCGACATTACTAAATTACTAATCACCTAAGATTGTGGGCTGATGTAGATTTTGTGGTTTGGTATATTTTTCTGTGCTCTCATATACATAAATGAAGCAAAAAATTTGTTCGCAAACTGTTTGCATTAGAATCTGGGAGAGGTGTCTGTTTCGACAAGGGTTTTTTACCTTTTTTCCTCTATTTGCCTTTATCTCTTTTTCTCAACCAGGTATTAGCTCAGATTATGCCTGTTGTACATCAACTTGTCAGCCCCTAAATATTTGTGTTCTACATATGATCTTTCCATGTTCAAGTAAAAATTTGGTCCATCTTGTATAACATTTCCAACTGGTAGGTTTCTAATGATGGGTGTCTTTTTATTATTGACAAGTAATCAGATTTGATCAACAGAAAGTTGGGTGAAGCCTGTATACAAGAGGTAAACATCGAGCAGCTATAGAGCAAGCATTTCTTCCTACAAAGTCCAACCGGTATTTATACAAATAGAAACCCCTCATATGCTCCAACAAAGTGCAAAAAGAAGCCAGATTGAATGAAAAGGCCTTCCCAATCTTTCAAAAGCCGTTTGGTTTTTTTCGCCCCATATAGTCCACATCGTGGCTTGTGGTGGTATATTCTATATTCATCTTCTCAAATCCCTTCGACCTCTCAATTTGTTTCATCTTGAGAAGCTCCTTAACAGTTGTGGGCATTGCGTACCTACTTTTGAACAACCTGTCTGAAGCGATTCACCTATCTCATATCATTTTGCAGCGGATGAGCAGGTGGCTAACATCCACTCCTGCTCCTTTAAACAAGATACACCAGCTAATATGAATCTCTCTTTTCCGCATCTTTATTGACGTCTTCGGAGTTGGCTATTTACACGATTTACAACATTGGACAAAATTTGTCATGTAGTAAATGCGTTTCCTTTGTTTTCCCATTGCTTCTATTATCTATTCTGTTTCCTTTCAATCAGTTTAAGTGCATCAAATTTCAGGTCCTTTACTGCAAAAAAGAGAAGAGTCAATTCGACTCTCATTTTGTGGTTACCTGTGACCAGAACCTAAGCTGCATTGACTCTGAGCTATTTTAAAAAGACCTTTGATTCACAAGGTGCTTTGTATTGTGCATCGTCATTTGCATTGTTAATGGACAAGAACTCATCCGATAAGTGTTTAAATTGATTGAAGCTTGACAGTTGAAAGTTTGCAGCTTTGAAGAGCGCCTTGCAGCACAAAGAAAGGAGAGAGAAATGGCACAAGCAGAACTTGGGTTCAAAAAGCCATTGACCAAAGAGGAACAAAAAGAGAAAAAGAAGCAACGTTTGGCCGCAATTGGTAATTCACTTGTCTTATCTTCTTTTTCTGGTCTAGGTAATACACTTCTTTGTGATAGCTTGTTCTATTCCTTTGCCCTCTTTATTTCGGCTAATCCTGGGGGGCTGTTCAGGGGAATGGAGAAAAGCAACATGTTTTTATTGCTTGGTCCCCACTCCTCCCCCTCCCCCCCTTTTGCATAAGAGGTAAAAAGCAAAAAAAGAAGGGACTAGTTAATTGTTCACTTTACTTGTAGTCTCAAACTCAGATTTTCTTCTCACTAACAGGTGAAGATCTACTAGCCATTGCAGCAGATCAGCCATTCCGATTTCCTGCAACATTCACTTTTGTGGTTAGAGCATTTTCAGGTACTTGAGTGCCATCTTATGTAATTGCTTACAATTGTGCTACTTGCTTTGGCGTTCAACTTCTTATAGTGGAAACTATTATTATTGTTATCAGTTTTGGATGGCATTGGGAAGGGTCTTGATCCACGATTTGATATCACTGAGATAGCCAAACCGTGAGTGCACCACGATATATGATTTCTTTTCTTTTTGTAATTTCCTCCCCTTTTTTCGACATAAACTTTTATGCTGCTCTATAGCTGTGCCATCTTTTTTGACATAATTTTTATGCTGCTCTATAGCTATGCCCTAGAGTTGCTTAGGTTTCGTGAAGCTGGTGTTGAAGTTGTGGTAAAGGTAAACCTAGTAAAAGTTTGAAAGTATACGCAGGTTTTGTTTTTCATATGTGCTTAAGTTTTAACAATTAATCTTTCTGACTTGCAGGACTTCAGGAAGAGATGGGATAGACAGTCTCAGGCATTCTACAACTTGTTCAGGCAGGCTGATAGAGTTGAGAAACTTGCTGCAATTATCCAGCGACTGGTAGATAACATGCCATATCATAGCTTTAAATTAAAATTTGATCTCAGATCCATAATTTTTCAGTCTTATGCTTATTCATTTCTATCTATTCTGATTTGCTCACAGGAGCAAGGCGACCTTAAGCTTCGGGTTAGAGCTTTAGAATCTGAAAGGGCTTTCCAACGTGTTGCTGCTGTTCAGAAGACAATTGGAAGTGTAAGTTGTCATACATTCTGGTAATGTATACATATCACTTTCATGTGAAATTTGGTGTACTTTTTTAATCAAGAAAGGTACAACATGTTTGTTGTGTCATTCTTCTATATCAATAAAAAGTTATGCTGTGAGATGGAGCTATCACTGCGTTTACTATGGGCTGCCCCTGTTAGACCCTCTCTTTTGGGCCCTTTGGGGGTGGGGGGAAGAAAGAGGATTCACTCTTAGTGTAGATAATATCTATACTTACATAAGCTTGCTGCTCTTTTTGCCTGCTCATTGTTTCACTTCTTAATGACTTAAGGTCTTCATCTCATCTGTTTGGGAACTTATCTGAATAGGGAGTAGCCGCTGGAAGCTTGGTTAACCTAGCTACACTTTTGTATCTCAACTCCGTCCGTGTAAGTACATCTTCACTTGTATATTCAAGTTTGTCATCTTTGCATACTAATGTTTAACTTGCACGCATCTTCATTTTACAGACCCCCTCTATTATAGCATACACTGCCTGTGCATTCTTTGGCTTCCAAGTCCTGTTTGGCCTTCTGAAGGTTAAAAAATTAGATGAACGAGAAAGATTGATTACTGGAACAGCTTGAACAAATGGTGAGCAACTCTTCTCTAATTTAGAACTGACAGAAGCGAAAACTCTAAATTTTTATGAAGTCTTTCAAAGTTTGATAGGTAAATATTAGAGGTATGGTTCCAAATTTCAGATTTGCTTTAGGTTATAAGTCAAACTTTGGGTCATCTCAAAAAATATAATAAAAAGGAATTAGAGGTAGAAATGCCATCTTGAAACTTTTCATGTACAGTAAGCCATTAGAGTTGAGTCTTTAATGGCTTACTGTTCATGAAAAGTTTCCTGGTGGCATTTCTACCTCTATATCACATGCAAAAAAATGAAAATGGGTACGTTCCAGGCTATTGACATTTTTGTATTAGAGTTGATATTGGTTACTAATTATATCAAAGAAAATTAGAGTTAAACTTCAGAGGCTTTACACTGGTAGAGTCGGCGAGTCATTTTGGTATAGGGAGACATTCATCCATGTTAAAAGTTTGATAGACGACTTGCTCCTCCAGGTGGAAAAAAAGTTGACTCGGAAGGAAGAAACAAATTACTGGAAATTCAAAGTTGAAAAAAGATTCTTTATAATGGATTTTCATCTAAACATGTGTATAGTTTTTCATTAAACCTAAAAAGGCTTCTATTATATATCGCTTTAGGGTTAAGCACATGTACAAGTGTGCAAACAAAAGTAGGTTTCAAATATCAAAATTCCCAGAAAGAGAATTTAATAAGAGGAAAGTTTGAGCAAGACAGATTCTCGAAAAACTCTTTACTTCATATAAAAAAAAAAAGATTCTCGAAAATCTTCAAGTCCACTATGAAGGATAACTGGATAAGCTGGTGTTCAGCCTTTGACTGGAAGGAGCTAGGCTTGTTAAGCACTGTTGGTATGACATACTGCAAGGTCTCTAGATAAAACCTCAAGTTAAGACTTCCTTTTGGATCAAGCTTTCCGCAAGAAGTTTTATCTACCAGATAGAGCAAAAGTTGTACCAATATTGGCTAAAAACTTGGAATCTTTACTCTGGTTGATCATGGTTGCCTTCTGAACTACTGTAATGTTGAAACCATGGATTCTTGGATCTATATTGGCCCATATCATGGAGATGGCCTAACTCATGGGAAAATGGCTTCCAAACCTAAGCGGAGAGTGATTGTTTCATTAAGAAGAAGCTAGAAAAACATATATAAAATCTTCCTAAAAAACAATATAAATTGTCCTAGAACAATGAGGCTTCTGAAGGACCATTATAAAGAACTATTGGAAATTCAATATCATTGAAATAAGAAAGAAGGGAAATATGTGAATTAATCACATGATCCTCGGACACCTTTATGATAAAACACACAAGAGGGAGTGAATAGGTGTTCTGTGTGTTCCAAAAACTTCTGCAGATATTAAGTGGAGTACTAAAGGTTATATCAGACTAATAGTTAAGTTCTTTTTGAAAATTCTCTTTCAATGGGAATTCTTAGTTTTGATATAATGGAACTATTTTATAGAAATTAATTTTCTATTAATAGACAAGTGAACAAATTAAGAATGTTTAAATAAAGCTGTTAAGAAATAATTAACTGAATAAATGTGTGCTCTCTAACAACTTAAACTTTTAGATGAGATGTTCATATGCTTCAGATGTCCAGTCCTGGGCGCATGGGTGTTAAGAGTCCCACATCAGCTGTGGATGGGGTGTTTGGTCTACTTATACAGTCTTGTGCAATCCCTCACCTTATGAACTAGCTTTTGGGGTTGAGTAAGGCCTAAGGTCTATTTCTTATCAAAAGCAAATTGATAATGCAAACTCAAATTTATACTGGTTCAGCTATGCGTACATTCGATTCCCTTGTTCAGGGGTTCCACCAGATCAACTTATTTTTCTCTAACACAAAGTGATGAGTAACTTGCACGTGCACACATGTGTGGTTTTGTCTTTGTATCATCACGAAAGAGTTACATGTAGTGGTTTCAACTTTGCTAACCACCAACAAAGGCTGCCTAAACTTTTTCTCAGTTAGTGATTTAGAAAGCTAGGTCTTTGTCTAGACTTTAGAAATGAAGATGATTTTCATCCTTTTCGGTGTAGGGCTTCTTTTCAGTACAATGATGGACTCTCCTATGATAGATTGTAAACTATAAGTACCAATTTCCAAGTACAAGAAGCTGTGCTGCTTTGCTCTTTTCTTTTTGAGTGCTTGTCTGTCTTCTTGTCCTCAAGTTCTTGGTCAATTTCTACTAGATGTCCAGACTTTAGGAATTCTTTGTTGAAAGTATTCCTTATGTAGCACCAATAGCCGTTGGAGATCAAGTCTTCAAATTTCATAAACTTCAGCCAAAGTTGACTTGTTCAATCTTCAGTTGCCTCAAGTTATTTCCATATCCAGTTCTCCTAGCTGCCGAAACTTTTCATTCTTCAGTTCTTACATAACTCGTGCTTGTGTATCTGTGGATATTTTTAAGAGTAGCTTCCGCACAAGTTCAGTCTTTGAATTTGGTTCCTCCTTTCTTCAAGATCTTTTCCTTAATCTGGTACTTCTTTCCTTATTTATATCCTCATCAATTTCATTATTATGCTAAGTACCCAAAATCTATCACTTTCATTAGCAGTATGGATCTTCCTTTAATTGCTCAATTTATCAATCAGCATCCTTTGATCAATCAATCCTGCAAAACAAGAATCGCCACAGATCAGGATGAATTATTTGATTAAAATTCCAAATACCAAAATAACAACAATGCCTTAGTCTATATGAATCTTCACTGACTATGCTACTCCATTTAAACTCATCTCATGCCAATATTAAAATTCCAAATAAGTTTGTTTTTTAGACCATAATATAGAGATGTTAAATCCTTGGGTCAACACTTCATAGATTTTTCCTAGATCATAATATGGATGAATCTAATGATTGTCAGACTCTTTCCCGATAGAAGGAGCTTCATCCTCTTCAGTATGCCTTCCATAAGTTTATATAGTAACACATGATTGATTTCTCTTTTGAATCTTCAAATTCTTCCTTTTTTGTAGAACATTATCTGTTTCGCACCGTGCCTTGTTCCTTTCTTTTGCTTTATATAATAGAAGAACTTCTTTTCAATCCTTGGTTATTGAATGTTTCAGCTTGTATATTGCTATATTTACGAGGACCAAGTAGGGTCTGTACTTATAGCAGGATTAGCAAAAACTAGAAGACCACCTGAGGTTTTCAAGGGTGTAGGAACCAATTAAATTTTTTTCAGTGTGCATTTGTCAAGTTGGTTTTGTAGTTTCCATATAAATATTTGGTAGATATGATCTCTCTTCACAAACTTTTTGTTGGATTTCTTGGCCTAAGAGGGTTGAGGATGGGAGAAAAAATAGGTAGTCCTGTGAACAGATCATTCTGTGATCATCGCTGCAGTTTTAAGCGAAGCAGCAACAGGAAATACAAACTAAAAGACATTTTCGCTCTATATGTAAAATGCAAATAATGTTTTATGCTTACTCAAACTTCATTAAATTGGAATCATTTAATCTTACAGTTGGCCATTGTCCAGTACAGGTTACATCGCGAGATAATATATGGGAACTGCTATTCCAAGTTGTAACCCTGGAAAAACAGAAATAACGTGGATAGGACTTAACGGATCATTGAGTGTTCATAGCACTCCCATGGCCAAGAGTTACCAGTTTTGTCATTCAGCTTTAAGATGCATCATGTGGTAAGACTTCCAATATGGAGGTTAACTTCTAATTATGTTGGCCAAAACAGATTGTTGTATTTGCCAATCTCCACTATAGAGCACTCCTGTGAAGTAGTCCAAATAAGAAATCTTTCATGTAGTATGACACCCATTTTGACCTTCTGTAGCCTTAGTGTATAGGTATACAAAATCTAGGAGATAAATGTAACTAATTTTAGCCCTATCTATCTTCAACCTTATTTGTGGAGTTCGATTCTCTTGAATTTGTGTATATTATACAATGTGTACTTATATTTATTGTAAAATCAGTGTCATACGAGTATCCTAGGGATCAAATATGTCATTGAGCTAACCCTACTTTGTATTAGTCCTTTGTATGTGTATTAGTATATCAAGTCTTCTTAGACTATGTATATAATTTCAACTTGTTTAAAGCAGTCGGTCTACTGAACTGTCCTATGCACTTTGTATGTTGAATTATTATAAAGCTGAGGATTTTGCTGCGTTGCTTCATTTTAATCTTGTGAAGTATCTTGTGTCATGTGTCTCTAGAATCCAATTCTTTCTTGTTTCCATTTTCACCCACCAACATGGTGGATCCTCTAAATTTTTGTCCTTTAAACCCATTTATATACTATTATTTATCATTGTGGGACAACATACTTTGGATGAAGTGCTTGAGCTGTACCATGTGCTAGATAACATAAAAAACAAAACATCTACATTTTAAAGTTTGCACATCTGAAAAAGTGAGAAGACATTTGTGTATTGGCTAGTTAGTGTACGCGTGTATAGTTTTGTTGTGTTGGAAATTGGATTTACATTATATTAATTAGCTGTAGCTTGAAAAAGGATAATGCCTTAGCCTAATTGGTGGATAAAGTAGAAGGTCCGATTAATACCTTTTTATTATATGTGTGTGCATAAGCAAAGACTAAATAACTATTGATCTAAGACATTTTGTATCAAATTTCAAGTTAGACACACCATCCCTTCAAATTTTCCCTTCGTTCTTCTCTATGCATGGATACACTTATGAATGTATTAATGCATTTTTTGATACTACATGCATGTATCTTTGATTTTATATACATTTTTTATACCAACTACATTATGAAATATAGATACATAGGGAGAGAGGTGAGCGAGAGAGTCATATACATGCATATCACGCTTGAATATAGTGGTATGTGGAACAAATTATACCAAATTTGACTCCCATGTATCAAAGCAAATACATGTTCTGGCAAAGAAAAAGTGATATGGAGCGTAATTTCCTAAATTGATGTGAGCACATATAATTAGGACCTAAACGAATGTAATTTGTGTTTTTTGCTCATGAGAAAAAGTCTTAGGGTATTTGGTGTCCGGTTTAATCACCGAAAACGTTGTTGTATCAATGGAGATAAACCGTATGTTTAACTTAATCAAACTCAAAATCATGTTTACATATATACCTGTATATTGCGTCTTTTATCTACTATGGTTATATTATATATAAATTTCTTGCATGTTCACCATCTTTTGTGATCTCATCACCAGTTTTTTGAAGTCGAAAATATTTTTTAAAAATAAACTTAAATTTTTTTTTGGGGAGTGCGGGGGCTGGTAGGGGGTGGGTGGGGGAATGGGTAGGGGGGTCGAGAGTAAGGGTAAAAATATGAAATAATATTTTTTAAAAACAAACTTAAATTTTTTTCTTTTTGAAGGGGGTGGGGGCTGATAGGGGCTGGGGGGGGGGGCGAGGGTAGGGGTGGGGGGTAAAAAATTAAAGATTGAAATTAGAAATATCTTTTAAAAACAACTTTTAATATATTTTTGGGAGGGGGTGGTGGTAGGGGTTGGGAGTAGGGTGAGGGTGGGGTAAAAATATTGAATTTAAAAACAATCTTTTAAATTTTTTTTTTGGGGGGGTGGTTGAGGGGTTGGTTTGAGTGTAGGGACAAAATAAATTGATTTTTTCAACAATTTTTTTTTTAATTGGAAGTTGGAAGAGAGTTTGGAAAATGTTTTCCTTAAGTTTTGAAGGGAAGTCATTTTCCTTAAATTTGAGGAAAATGAGTTGATTTGGAAAACATTTTCCAAAACATTTAACCCAACCAAACATGAGAAAATTGGAAAACATTTTCCGGAAAATATTTTCCTTCATACCAAACACACCCTTAATCTAACTCAAAATCATGTTTACATATATACCTGTATATTGCGTCTTTTATCTACTATGGTTATATTCTATATAAATTTCTTGCATGCTCACCATCTTTTGTGATCTCATCACCAGTTTTTTGCGTGTGAAAGAGTGCAAATTTTAATCTGTATATTGCTGTTGGTTCCATTAACAATTATTGAACTATGTTTTGTTTGATGTTTTACTTCCGGCGCAAACGTGATTAATTAAAATTGGTGTATTTGGTAGGAAGGAAAATATTTTCTAGGAAAATAAGTAGATTTTTTACTTATTTTTCTTGTTTTCGCTATGTAAGTAAAAAAAATATTACCTTAAAAGCATTTGTATACAATCTAGATAAATATTATGGAGGCAGGAGGCGCGAGGTGGTGGGAATAAGGGCTATGAGGGTAGGGATGAAGGTGGATTGTGTCGTAGGATGAAAAAGACACAATCAATGTGAAATACCACTTGTGGAACTTATTTTCCATACTTCCATTTGTTTTGACATATTATAATTCGACTCTAATTTTGCCAACTTTACACCCCTTCTAAGTTCTAACTAATTTGTGATCCAAAATAATAGTAACAACTTTCCATCCTACCTTCAAAACATGTTAAATAATATATAAATGCTCTTGAAATAATATTTTTTTTGCTTACTTATCAAACATTAAAAAAAAAGTAATAAAAAACCCATTTGTTTTCGAAATTCTTTTGAAGAAAAACATTTTCCTTTGTATCAAACACAACCTAATTAGAGCATGAAAGTTGAATTTTTTTCATTGACCAACAAATTATCATACATGCTAAATCAAAAGTTACAAAATCCTACTCAATTCATTTGATGAACAGAGAAAAATCTATGTTACAAAGTAAAAGCCAAAAAAACAAAAACAAAAATAAATAAATCATAGAAGCTTTCACCTATGGAAGAGATTGTGTATAGATATAATCTTCATTCTCAAACAATTTCTCTTCTGCTCCACCTTTACCATTTCCTTGTTTGCAATCACCTTTCTCTTGTCCACATCCACCTTTTTCACCCTTCAACATACCAAAAAAACATAAACGAATTCAGAATTTAAATTTAACATGTTCAAGAATATAAGTTAACGTTTATACTACTTTTCATAAAATTTCACATATACAAACATTTTTATACCAATACAAGGATTTAGTTGAATCGACCTAATTCTGACACTCAAGGTTCGCTCCGAAAAAAGGAAAGAGAGAGAGTTACCTTTTTCATTAAATCCTTAGAGGAATCAACAATGAGATCATTATTAGTGACAACTTGTCTACCATAAGCTAGAAACAACAAATGGAAGATCAAAATTACTAGGATAATAGCAAAGGAGTAGAAGCTAGATAAAGGTTTCATATTGATAATAATAATATATGAACTATATAATAAAAATATGTATATCTTTGCTCCAAGAAATTAATAAGCTAAAAAATTAGTGTTTTTTTGCTACTCTATCAACTTATAAAGAGAAGGGAAATCTTAATGAGAGTCAAAAATCTTTCTTCAACTATTTGAACTATGTCTCTTTTTTTTTACAAGAAATTTTTTATTTAAAGTAAAATGTTTTTTAACCTTTCTTTTTGACCTGTCTCCTGATTCCACAACATGTAGCTCGATCATCAAGATTATGGGTTGGCTTCTCTGATGTTTTGTCACTTAATTAAATAATCTTTATACCTATAATAATAATAATAATAATAATAATAATAATAATAATAATAATATTGCTGCTTATTTTAGTTTTATTTTGTTTTCTGCTTTATATTCTTACTTTTTGTACAAGGTGGGTGGGTGGAAACCGAGAAGAGCTTAAAAATAATAAACTCGTTTGGTGTGAAGGATTAAAAATAATAGTGATGGGATAAATTTTTTTAATCTTGTTTGGTTGTCATGTTTGGGATAACTTATCCCACTATTTATATCATAGTGATTGGATAAGTTATCCCATATACATGGTGGGATAAGTTATCCCAGGATAGCTAACCCCAGGATAACTTATCCTGGGATAACTTGTTTCCAACCAAACGATCGGGTTCCGCTAATAATATTATTTGCTTTGGGTCTATATTCATACGACTTTAAAATACGTAAAGGTTTAACCCACTTGTAATATTATTTGCTTTGGGTTTAGATTCGTACGACTTAAAAACATGTCATTAATGCAGCCAAAGCAAATAGCCAAGATGACTTGCATGTAATATAGATAACATATAATTGTAGATTTTAATCTAGTATAAAATCAATACTTGTTTCTTAAAGCGTAAGCATGATTCCGATTGAATTGAACACAAAAATTATCTACTCAATCATTCTTCAGTTCCAAGTCATCTTATTTAAATTCTTAATAAAAACAAGTAATTTATCTATTGTGATAGGTATGAGTATTTGTGAATTGAAATGGTTGAAAGGTATTTAAAGACTTTCGACGTGAATTATGAGTCTCTAATCAATATATATTATGATAATCAAGCGACAATATATATATTTCTTAAAATTTGATTTTTCATGAATCAAGCACGCGCTGAAATAGATTATTGTCATTATGTTTGGGATGAGTTGCAGTCCAATAGGACATAGGTAGCAAGTACCGGCTAGAAACTGGTTTAAAATGAGGCAATATTATTGTGAATACAAAGATAGAGAAATTCTCCTAAACATTTTTTTTTAATTCTTTACATTTTTTGGTCTTGAATATTTCATACACACATGTACAAACACAATGAAAATACACAAGAAATACAGAAAATTATAATTTCACCATCTCTCACATAGTCCAAACTGAAATTATCCCAACCACTAGGCAGTAGGCACTAACACTGCAGCAAATTAAAATAACTTTTAGCGGCAATAAATATACACATTAACAAAAAACATTAAAGTTTTTATTGTCATTAGATCTAATGTCGCTATAGGCTTTAGGAAAATTTACCAAGAATGCTAATTGCCACTAAAAATACATATTTAGCGATAATTAAGCTATTTTCGTTAATTAATTGTCACTAAAAATCATTTTTGAACGTGGTGTAATATAAGAAGAGAAATTTATCTCCAGGGCATTTGGCTTAC